GGGCTGGGCTGCCTATGCCTGTTTTCTCCCGCATTCACTCTACTGATCTGTGACAGGGCCTGAGGGCAAGGCCTGGAATGTTCCCAAATGTTCTTCCAGGAAGCCTCAGGAATGGGGAAGAAATGTTGGCCCATAACAAACAAAGGTGGCTGGATGAATAATAACTGAATTGACCCTACCGTGTACTGACAGCTGTAGCAATGGACCCCAGAGCCCTCTCAGCCTGCTTTCTTCTGGGGGGAATGGTTTAACTGGGAGTAGGGAGCAGAATCCAGCCTGGGACGGACAGGATCCCAAGGCCTGGCTCAGTCCTGCCTTCCCTCACTTCTGGGCTCCCGTTACTCACTCTTCAGCCCGTCTGTGGGAGGCTTGCCATGTAATTTCCACTCCAGAGCAGTCTCTTCTAGACCTCCACAGAATTCCTGGTTTGCTAGTTCTTTCCAGCAGAAGCTGTGAGAGAGACCTTTGTGTGTGTTTATTTATTTTTTATTTTAATGGAAAATACAAGCAATAATGGCAGTGAGTTACATGTCCTTTTATATATATTTCTTATTTAAACTTTAAATATCTCTGGGAATTAGATAAAAGATTTCTTTTAGGCCCTGTTTAATGAGAAAGTATCTGAAGGCTCAGAAATTTTAAATGACTAGGCCAGCATTAAAATTGTTGTGTGCTGTCGAGTCAATTCTGACTCATAGTGACCCTATAGAGAGACCTCTTTTGTGTTGTGAATTTCCTGTTTCACTTCACGAACCTGTCTCTTTGAAGGGTAGCCACGGCAGGGGAGTGTAAGTGTGAAGATTTTTCTTTATGGAAGAGTTTAGCGCTCGCTTAGTAACTTCGTATTCAGCACCTACCATGTGCTGGGGGAGGAGTGCTGGTGGCACAATGGTTATGCACTTGGCTGCTACCTCAGAGGTCAGTGGTTTGGACCCACCAGCCGCTCTTTGGGAGAAAAGACCTGGCAATCTGCTCCCTTAAAGATTACAGCCTAGGAAACCCTATGGGGCAGTTCTGCTCTGCCCTGTAGGGTCATTGTGAGTAGGAATCGACTTGATAGTAGCTAACAACAGCATGTGCTGAGCACTGTGCTTGCAACACCGAGATGACTCAGACTAGATTTTGGCTGTCCATAGTCAAAAATGGACCAGTGTGTTCCAGGGGGTCCTTGCTAGCAGTGCGGAGCCCCAGGGTACAAGAACATAGATTCGAGCTGTTAAGGCAGGAAGAGGACTTTGATGTATCGGGGGTCTGTCATTGTTTCTTCAGAAATGCTCTTAATGTGCTTCTGGTGACACATTACAGAAGGAATACGCCATGATCCTGAGTTCAGACTAGGAAACATCCCAATGATGTCTAGGAGAGGAGTAGGGGGAGGGCGTGGGAGGGAAGTAGAGGAGCACCCACCATGGGTGCTTCTCAGGGACACCGCTTTAGGGAGCTCTTCTGAGGGCTGCTGCTCTCCTACTGCTTTCTGGTGTGCTTCAGAACCCCCAAAAAACCAAACCCGCTGCCGTGGAGTCGATTCCGACTCATAGCAACCCTATAGGACAGAGTAGAGCTGCCCCATATTGTTTCCAAGGAGCACCTGGTGGATTCAAACTGCTGACGTTTTGGTTAGCAGCCATAGCACTTAACCATTACGCCACCAGGGTTTCAGGTGTGCTTCGTAGGACCCTGTAAACAGGCTCCCAGTCCAAGGTTGGTTTGTGAACCTCTGCATAGGAATTCTTCCTCTTCCTCTCCGTGAAGATTGACAGTGCACATTAGCATAAGCGAGGCTCTGAGAAGCCCACCAGTAGAGAAATGTGTCCCAGCACTGTTCAAACTGATCTTCACAATCCTTTGGAACACCTTGATAACATACAACTATGCATGTTGCGCCTTTGGATCTTGACTTGAAATTGCTACTGGGTTTGGGGAGGGAGGGTCAGTCACCATTAAAACATCTTTGACACTGTCTTTGACTCTATTCTTGGTTGGATGGTTTAGGTTTTGTTCTTTGTGTTTGTTCAGCGCCACCTGTTGGCTGTTGAGATGTTACAGAAACGTGGGGGTGATTGGGAAACCCTGGTGGCGTAATAGTTAAGGTCTATGGCTGCTAACCAAAGGGTCGGCAGTTGAAATCCACCAGCCGCTCCTTGGAAACTCTATGGGTAGTTCTACTCTGTCCTATAGGGTCGCTATGAGTCGGAATCGACTCAGCGGCAACGGGTTTTGTTTTTTGGGGGTGTGGGGGAGAGATTGTGGGATACCAGTTGGACATTCTGAAATGCTATATATTCATGCTGAAGTTTGACCATATTTGACGCAAACATCAAGGAAAAGTGAAACATTTCAGCAAGGGGGAAAGAAGAGGAAAATCCCAAAACTGAACTCATGGTTTAGTGGTGGGTTTAGATGTGGTTTCTCACCTGTAGGGTTTAATTTCTCTGTTGCTGTATCTTCCCACCCATCCGTTGTCATTGAACTGTTGTGTAACCTGGCTTCTCTGAGAAGGTGCTCTTACTTGGTACACACCCCTCCCTTTTCTTACCTAACAAAGCACAGGTGATTGGCTTTATGTTAGAAACCCCAGAGTTAGTTCTTAACAAATCTCTGCAAGACACCAATGTGGTTCTCTTCCCAGGAGGCCTTACTTCCCATTGTATCACTTCTGCTCTTGTCCTCTGCCACCATCTTTGCTGGTGGAAAATGTTTGGTCAGGATCTGGTTCTGGGCATCAGTATGAGGAAGGTGTGTTGATAATAAGTTTTTGGGTTTTTTTTTTCCTTAAGAAAATGAAAGGATAGGGACTGTACTCTCCCCCACCCCGTCCCCTGGGAACCACCTCCCTGGCTAGATGTCACATTGCTGGAAGATGTTGTAGAGGAGGGGAAAGAGGGTTGGCTTTGTCCAGAAGTGGAACCTAATGTACTTTGGGGCTACAGCTGGTGACACTTGATTTCTGTGAAGAGCCAGGAGGGGTGGCACCAAGATGCTGCAGCCTTCTGACAGGGCTCACAGGCACTCATGCACCCCCTTTCCCGGTCCGTTTTCCATAAGGCAACAAAGAGTGGTCTTTCTTTATGTATCTGTGTATGTGTGTCTGTACACATATATATATACAGAGCCCTGGTGGCGCAGTGCTTAAGAGCTTGTTTGTTAACCAAAAGGTCAGCATGTTTGAATGCACCAGCTGCTCCTTAGAAACCCTATGGGGCCATTCTACTCTGTCCTTGTAGGGTTGCTGTGAGTCGCAATCGACTCGATGGCAGCATTTTTTTTTTTTTTTTTTTTTACGTGTGTGTGTGTATATATATTTTACACACACACATTTAATTAATACATTTTTAATACCATGTCCTGGAGTTTTTTCTGTATGAGAACACATAGATCTGTTTCTCTCATTTTTTAAATCACTGCACAGTTTCCCATGGTATGATTGTGCCATAGTTTATTTAACTGTTTCCCTATTAATGAGCATTTATTTCCAGTTTTTTACTATCACAAATAATAACTAACACAATTTAAAATGCATAATTCTCCCCTCTTTATGCACATGAGTATATACTGAGAAGTATAATTTCTGATCATAACATTTTTGGGGTTTAATTTATTTTTTGAATAGGTAAAACTTGCAGGTACAAAATTCTTTCCCTTCTCAGCAGGCACTTCTGTCTCTAGTCCAAGGGCACTTCTAACCCACTTCCACGTTCATCAGCCTCACCCAAGTTCACCAGCCAGCAGTGTGGGGTTTAGAGTTTCTGCTGCATAACTGTGTATGGGCTGTGAACCTGTGGGCAGCCACTTCACTTCTCTGGCGCTCCAGTTTCCTAGGTTAAAATCGGAATAATAGCAGCATGCCCAGAGAGTTTTAATAAGGATTAAATGAGTGTACACACACACACACCCCGCACATGGTAAACCCTAAAGCAAAATAGAAATGTGAGCTTTTAATCCACCTTGATTATCTAGATTTATTACCAAGAGACTCACTTCTAACAGCACCTCCTGGCCTGTAATTCCTTTCCTTCCTCCTGTGTTTGCCCCATTGTTGTCATTCGGCCCCTCCTCCTCCATAGGAGGAAAAGCTGACATCCAGGGTGCCCACTCTTGGTGCCAGTCGACAAAGGTCTGCCTTGCCTGCCTCTTCAGCTCCCACGCAGCTGCAGAGCCACTTGCTCTCAGAGGGCAGGGCCTGGGCCTCGTTTACTGGTTTGGCAAGTAAGGAGAGCCTGCTCTGTGTCGTGTGCTAAGGGCTGAGGGGAGGGGTGGGCAAGGTAGACCCCTGCCCTTGAGGAGCACACTGTGCTGAGGTCCAAGTCACACAGCCCATGTGCTGAGTGTCGCAGAGCAGAGAGAGTCTGTGGGGCACACGGCAGGCACAGCTAACCCAGCCTGAGCAGTCAGGAGAGGCTTTCTGGAGGAAGTGAAGGCCTAGAGGCTGAGGAAACCCAAGCTAAGCCAAGGAGAGGAAGGACGACCGTGCTGTGCTTTCTGCCTGGCTTGTGTTGGCCTTGAGGTGAGGGAGAATGTGGCCTGGTCAAGGCAGTGACCACCGCCCAGTGTGATGGTGGCAGGGGAGCAGCTGCTGTAGACAGGCTGGAGAGTAGGGAGAAGACAGATCACCATAGGGCCTGAGTGGCCACGGTCAAGGGCATGGCCTTTATCCCAAGAGCAGTGGGAAGCCTTTGAAAGGCTTTAAGTCATGGAATAGTAAACCCCATATACCATCAGCCTGCTCCAGCTGTTGTAAACCCACCGCCAGTCCTGTTGCCCTGCACGTCTTGCCCCATCGCCACCACCACTCCTCACCCCTCACTCCCTCTCACCCGGTGTCATGTTGAAGTGACCCCAAAGCCTGACAAGTGACTTGTGTATTCTGTCAAGTCCAGCCCGAGGCTTGTAATGGATCAAGCAAGAGTTTAGGTCCTGGAATGATTGGACGACACAACTTGATTTTACTTTATTTTTAAGGAAACCATTGAGTTTTCCAAACTTTTTATCTTGCTTTTCAGTGGAAAGCTGGTGTCTCCAAAGTGGAAGAATTTCAAAGGCCTGAAGCTCCAGTGGAGGGACAAGATCCGGCTCAATAACGCCATCTGGCGGGCGTGGTACATGCAGTGTAAGTGCTGCTTGAGCACCCAGGGGTCCCCAAGCGTGCCTTTGGAACATTGTGCTTCAAGCAGCAGCATCTCTTGGGCAGTCTGGAGGCAGGACGGCTAAGCCACGTCCTAGTTGAGCCATCAGATGCTGTCGTCAGTCTGAAGGAGACAGATGTGTTGATGTGGGTCCCGGTGTAATGGGCTCAGGGTTATGACAGAGACACGGGCTCCGTGTTCTCAAGGCTAGAAGGAGGGAGGGACTCGTTTTCCTCGGAGTCAGGAAGGCTGTAGCAGAGGGGTGCCCTCTGAAGGGTCAGGGAGCAGCAGGTCTGAGAAGCAGGCATAGCCCTCTCCTCTATCTGCAGCTGGTGTGGGTGCTGGTGGGCCTGGCACTGTCCTCAGAGGATGAGCCTGCTCGGGGCCATTTATCGTCTGGATAAGCCAGACGCTCCCCCCCCTCCCCATGCACAGTTGACAGGCTCCTGTCCTCTAACCTGGCCCCTGGCTTCCCTGACTTACGTAGTTGTCCAAGGTAGGAGAAGGGAGGGTCCTGCACCAAGGGAAGGAGCGGAGACAGAGGGGCAGGGAGCTCCTCCAGGGCTCTTGGCTGTAGTGACAGTGTCTTGCCCCGTCTCCACCCAGATTTGGAGAAGCGCAAGAATCCTGTATGCCACTTTGTCACTCCACTTGACGGCTCCATGGATGTGGACGAGCATCGCCGGCCAGAGGTACTGGGCGAGTGGCCATGGTGGCGGGGAGAGGAGCGCTGCTCTTGTCCCAGGAGGAAACACTGAGACGGCTAGCAGGGAGACCTGGGTTCTGTGGTGGGAGACCAGGGGCTATGTGTCCCTCAGCCAGTGTGACCTTGAGAAGGGACACGGGCAGCAAGTGGCCTCTGACACCCCACAGACCACAGGGGTTTCTAACCCCCTTCTCAGGCTGGCCTGACCCAAACTGAGAGGTTCTCCATTGGAACACAACCTCTGCTCTCATGTGAAATCATTATCTGGGAGTCAGCAAGCAGGGCTTTGGCTCATTGTAAGGCACACGCTTTTAACAGTTAAAGAGTGACCGACCTCAAGACCCTTATACACTGAGATGGGAAGACATTGAAGAAATAGTAAATGAAAAAAAGAGAAGCTGCACAACAATATTTTTAGTTTCTTTGTTAATTTTTTAAAGTGTGTTTCTTTCCTTTTTTTTTTTTTTATTGTACTTCAGGTGAAGGCTTACAGAACAAATAGTTTCTCATGAAACAGTAGTACACATGTTGTTTTATGACATTGGTTAACAGCCC